CTCAATAGAGGCTGGTCTTTTTCATGATGCGCAGGAACTCCTGCTCGTTGACCTCGCCGTCTCCATCTCGGTCGGCTTCATCAATCATCTCCTGCGTGACAGGAAGGATTCGGATTAGGTTCATTTATAAACTAAAGGGTATTAGGCAACAGGCTTCTCAGAATGCTGCACGCTGGGATGGCAGAAGGCCACCAAATGCAGAGGAGCCACTTTCTGGGTAGCCTGCTTCCTGGGAAGCTATTTGCAAACCAAGCCACACCTTCAATAGACACCAACCAGAAGGGAGCGCAAAGGTCACCTCAACTAGGGACTCACTGCCCCAAGGTGTGCTTTTCTGGAAACAGGGTCATGGCTTTGTGACATTCAGAGTACTGCCACCAGGGGGAAGAGGACACGGGCTTCCTCAGAGGTGCTTGTGCCCCTGAAGAGGAAATTCGGCAGGGCTCAGCAGCTCAGAGGCAGCAGCTGGGCTCCAGACTGAGGCCCCACACACCTGCAGCTCCTCATCGGTCAGGTTCTCGCCCAGCTCCTTGGCCACGCGCTTCAGATTTCTGAACGATATTGTTCCGGTCTCATCATCATCGAAGAGCTTGAAAGCTTTCAGGATTTCTTCCTTGGTATCTTTCTCAGACTGAGCAAGGAGGAAGCAAAATGCATGAGCAGGGACGCCTCCGGCCACTCACGTCCCACGGCCCTGCCCCTGCCTGCTCACCTCTCTCCCTTTTTCTGCAAAATAACTCAAGCCTGGTCTTGGGGCAAACATTAGTGCCCCTACCTACCGCCACATCCCATATTACCAGCCCGGAATCAGGGGAAGGGGTGTGTTCTTGGTGCATAAGCCAAGAAATCTCCAGAGACAACAGGCACAAGGACTTGGACCCTGAGGAGCCGACAGGCTGCCCCGCTACAGGCCTCAGGACCTCTCACAGGCACAGGCTGGGGGCCACTGCGGTGAAGCCTGGCTTAGCTTTTCAAAGTGCTGCGTTTGCTGCCAATCCGTGTCTACACCTGTGATTCTGAACTGTGTTCTAGTTCCCTTGTTCAAGTGTCCCCAATTCTGAATCCAAGGAGGGGGGGATAAGGGAATGACCTTGCATTCATGCCCAAACTGCCCCATCTTTAAGGGGACAGGGTCTCAGAGGGAGCCTTCATGACAGAGGTCCTTGGTCACAGGAGAGCAAATATCATGTGGGGTAGAACAAGACGGCAACTTCATAAAATTACTATAAACCTAGAGGTTAAAAAGGAGGTTAAGGATTGTACCTAAATTACATTGTGTTTATAAACCAAATACACACTGGATTCATTTTTAAAATACAGGAGAAGGGAGCAGAGTTAAATTTCAGGAGAAAATCCTACTTAAGCTGGCAGAAAGGAGATCCTCTTAGCGGACAGAGAATGCGCGAGAAAAGAGAGGGCCATTTTACGAACTCTTGTGCACAGTGTCGGGGGCCCCAAGTCTCGAGGACCTCATACCTCAAGTTCCCTGAAAGGTACCTGCTCACAGTCCAAAATGGAGAGAGCCCCTAATAGGAGGGGTCTGAAACCACCCACCAACAGGGGACAGCTCTATGAGGTGGTTACAGAACACTGAGCCTGCTAATCTCCTAAAAGCAGTCTGCAAAGAAAACAGTAGTATAATGAGATGATTTCAGAGCAACACAACTGTTAGAGAAAGACGGACAATCACGCCTTGGGAAACACATGTGGAATCCTGCGCAGGGGCCAGCTTCGACAGGCAGAGAGAGGGCATGCGAGCCACACCGAAGGACCCTGAGGCCGCTGAGGTACTGGAAGCGCAAGGCCTTGGATGCTGGCCCGGCTGCGGGCAGGGGTGACGGCTTATATTCTCAGCCCTCTGCCCAGGCTGGTACCTGAGAAGCGGGAACAGACGAATGCAACCTTAGAAGGGCTGGGAAGCCACACGCCCCCACTGCAGGACAGAGTGCGGCTCAGTTAGCTACCCCTCGATCTGAGGTGCCCGGAATAAAGCGCCTCAGAGAGGAGTTAGGAATTCTGAGGTGTGCGGGCTGTGCATCGTCAAAAGGAAAAACATTTACAAATGTTTGCTGTTTATAGCTTTTACTGCTTGCGCTTTTCATGTTGACCTATCAGCTGGAACAAGGTAGTAGCCCCCAGGTGCAAGCAGTGGTACTTTTACTGCTTTCCAGGGAAGAAAAGAGCTCTACGGCTTTGTGAGCTGAAACTCGGGTGAAGGCACTCCCCCCCTTTATCAGATGAACTCTGGGGTGCACTGAACTTTCTTCAGTGAAGCTGTTTTCACATCTAGATTCAAATGGATCTGCCACTATTGTGGCCAGTACACTCCCGAGCCCGGGGAACTTACCATTTTCTGAGTCATCACAGTCAGAAAGTCGCTGAAGTTCATTTTGCCTGTCCCCTCCTTGTCAATTTCGCTGATCATTTTCTGGATTTCTTCTTTCCTGGGCTCAAAGCCCAGCGCTCTCATTGCCACCTACAATGAAAATGGATCGTGTCCCTAAGCCGGCGGAAAGCAAGCAGATTCCATGATGGTGCAATGACTGGGGCTCGGCAACTGACAGGTGTTTCCAGGTGCACAGCACAGCAGGAATACAGGCGGAAGGAAAAAGAGGAAGGGCCTTTATTTTCTTTGAGGACACAGAGATACTGTGGGGAAGGATGAAGAGGTCTCTGGACTGGAACAAAGGGAGGATGAGGCTTTTAAGGCCTTTGGCAGGGGTGGGGTTTGGAGGGGACATTTAGATATACCTCAGGAGCTGACTGGGGGTCTTCCCTGAGGGGGAGAAGGGTTCAGGGAAACTGCACCCCGGGCTGAGCTGGACAATAAGGCGGAGGTGGTCTTGGGGAAGATGGGCTTTTGTTTAAGGGCATCCGCCATATTAGATGTCCAGACCACCATGATGATTTTGGCAATTCATACTAGGGCCAGGACCTATCAACAACAGTGACCTAATTTGATACTTGCAATCAACTTTAGTAACACCTGAGTCAAATAAAGACAGGAAAACAGCACAGCCCATGCTTCCTTGTTACTTTTTCAGGGAGAAAGAGGGCAAAACCGTGAATAGTGACAGGGAGAAGACCAGGAAGAGGCTGAGGAACGGCGAGGCACTCCCATGGTATGTGGTAAGCGTATATAGACCCTACCTTTAGTTCCTTTACATCGATGGTCCCAGTCCCATCTGCATCAAAGAGATCAAAAGCTTCCCGGATTTCCTGTTTCTGCTCTTCAGTCAGCTCTGGCTTAGGACTCATCCTTTTTCTGGGAGCACTTGACGCCATGTTTGCCTTTTTAAAATTGGAGGCCTTTAAACGTTAAACATATAAGCACAATATTAAATAACACAGTCTGTATTTTAGGTAAGATTGTTTCAAACACCCCTATTTTTTAAAATAGTTTATACCAACCAATTTTAAAGCTCTGCTAAACAACAGATAACAGAGCTTGCTGGGGTAAAAGAAAAAAAGATTAATCTTTCCACAAACTTCTAACCCTCTTTTTTCTTTCCTATTGTTTTTAGGAGGTTCCTTGTTTTTGAAAACCATCCCCAAGGAGACCTAGCCAGGTACCTGACTCTGAATAACTACAGATTTTCAACTATCCCTTAACTCGGGGATCTTGATTCGGAAACACCTTACAATGCCCACCCTGAGAACTGCTTCCCACAAACAATTTTCCCTTGGAAAGTCCTTCTAAATTGGGCCAAATGTTAAGATACATACTCGTTCAGTATGGCGTAATAAAAGCCAATCGATTCAGCACCTTGGTGCTTCCTTCCACCAAGAAGCAGCTCCTGAATGCCCCTGGCTAAAACTGCAAAATGTACTTTAACTATCAACACAATAAATCTCCCAGCTCCACGCGAAAACTGGCAGTGTGGGGGCCTGTTGGCCAGGGTCTGCGAGGGATCGGGACCCACGGAGAACCTGAGATCTCTTTGTACAAGGCGAGTGATCGGGGAGGGTGTTTGGGGAAGGCCAAAGGAGCCGGCGAGGCGCCAGCTGGGGGAGGACGCTAAGGGAAGGGAAGGCCCAGCCACGCGGCCGCATCTCTAATCGCTACCCTACTCTTCCGGGATGGAGCTCAAAGGAACACCGGGTACGCCAAACCAGAGAAAGGCGCAGAAGAGGCGGCGCGGCGGGACCGGTGCCTGGGAAGGGCACAGTCACGCGGCCAGGGCGCGAAGAGGCGGCCGGCACTCACCATCGCAGCCGGACTCCAGGGCCGTTGTTAAGGTAACAGCGTACACTCCGACTCGGCGCCGTTCCCACCGCCCCGTGCGCGCAGCCTCGCTTCCCATTGGCGCAGGGCCGGAGTGGGTGGGACTTACCTGGCGCTGCCGGGGCCAGGGCAGGGGGCGTGCTCTAGCGTCTGAGAACCGGCGTCATTGGGTAAGATGACGCCCTGAGCGCCGATTGGCTGAACTGGGGCCAGAACGAGCCAATCCCCTTGGTGGAGGAAGCTCGGCCGATTGTCAGCTCATCTGGTCTAGGAGGAAGAGGGTGGCGATCGGGGTCGGAGTGCGGCGAGTTCATCCTGAGGAGAAGCTGAGACCGGCCTGAGGACGCCCACTGACAGGTAGGGGTCGTGGCCTTGCCCCTGATGGCCGCCCGGTGTCGGCTGGAGGGCAGGACGGGAGGACGAGGTACTGGGTCAGTAGTCTCCAGGCGAGACTTGCCGGAGATGCGACTATACTGTCCCCCGAGGCTCGAGGGGGCCGGAAGAAGCATCCCAGGCCCAGACGCTCCCCGGAGCAAAGTCACTACGGTCTGCGGATTGGCGCGCGGGGTGGGGGCAGGGAAGAGCTGGGGGGTTAAAAAGGAATGTCTGCAGGGTTGTGGGCCGGGCCGGGGCTGTCCACACGGAGCTGGAAGCCTGCGACCTGCCCTCCTCAGCCGGCTCCTGACTCACACTCGCCCTGCTTCCCCTGCAGTTTTAGGGCCGTGATCTGGGAGGTCGAGGATACAGCAGTTTCTCGGGCTGAGAAAGGCCTGAGACTTCCTAGCATCCCAGTAATAGAAGATCTGCCCTTTGCCCTCTTGCCTTCTGAGCAGGGACCAAGGCCAAACAACTTGCCTCATATTTGGCTCTTTCCTTCACCACTCCCGTCCCCGGATCGATGCCCCAAGCTCTGCCAGTTCTAGCCCTGGAGTGTTCTCTTCCTGCCTCTTCTGCTCATTGGTCATCAGCTGCAGCCCCTCAGCTGGTCGTGTGAGTGGCCCTCTCTCAGGGGCCGCAGAGTCCTCCCACCAGCCCCACACATCACCTCTGACCTTCTTCTCCCTGGCCCCTGGCTCCTGCCCCAGGACGCCTACAGGCCAGGCCCACTCCTGCTGGGCACTTTCTCCCCCACTGTCCCTTCTGGCTGCTGGGCCTCCGTCTTTCCCCAACCTGTCAGCTGTTCCTTGAGGATCCCCAAGCACTGTGCAGGGCTGGGTCCCATCCCCACCATACACCCAAGCCTGCCCACTTGTTCTGAGTTTTCCTGTTGACTTTATAACTTGCTAACCAACTGAAGATTTTACTTATTTGGTTCCCTGCTTCCCCTTGACCAGAAGGCAGGCGCTATGAGGGCAGGCATCTGTGTTCTGTTCACTGCCAACACTTTAGTACCTGGGAACCGGGAAGAGGAGGGGTGCATAATAGGTGCTCAGTAAGCCCCAATCCAGTGACGGGCTGCCCTCCCGTTTCCCCCTACTCACCTCTGCACTCCCTCTGCCCTGCCCCATTACGTTGTCTTCCCATTGTGCAGCTCTGCTCGGGTCAGTGCCCTGCTTGTATACTTTCGGAGGCTGTTTTCTGGAGAGTAAAAAAAGCCCTGTGAGCGTCCTGCCCATTTTGCCCTACCTTTGTCCCTCCACATCCTGTCCTCTGGTTTGGCTCTTATGTGCATCCTAGAGGATGCCGGGGTACTAGCACAAGGCCGGGCAAGGTGGGAAGAGCCTCCATCGCTGGGGTAAGTCCTTGATGGGGCTGTGACAGTCCCAGGCCCTTCGGCTTTGCCGTTCTTTTTGCTTCTGCCTCCATGCAGTGGGCAGTTGCCAGCTTTCTCCTGGCATACTCCCATGTGATAGGCCACTGGGCTGCCGCTGGGCCAAAGCAGCAGGGCCAACTTAGTGTGCACTTCAGCTGGGGCCTGCCGTAAACCTCTCCTCTGTTGATTGAGATGGGCTATGGCAGGCACTTTGTCACAGCAGCAGAAAGCTAGCAGGCCTTGCTTCCCAGGCAGTCTGCAGGGTGGCAGCCTGGCCAGGGGAAGGAGTACCTGTTGTGTGCCAGCTGCATGATGCAGGCAAGCCCCTCTGGCACTGTCTGCCCAGTTGGGTACTTGCTGTGTCTTCGTGCATCATGTGCGCACATGTGACCATCCAGACACCGTGCAGGTCGCAGGCAGTATTAGTTCTTGTCTGACTCGCTCACACCCTGCCACCTGGCATACCCAGGGTGGTAGGCTTGGCTAAAGACTTTTCTATGTGTAGTCAGAGTAGTCTGCAACTTCCAAGGGCACATAGGCCCTGCATTTTGTCACCTTTGCACCCGGTCTTCCTTCATACTTGCTATGACACCATTGGTCACATTGCCAAAACATACTAGGTCTGTGCCACCACCTCACTTTGGCCACCACTGACCACAGACTGCCTTTTAAGGGACTGACACCTCCTGCTTGGCTCCTTTCTGAGGCTCAGCTCCTCTCCCCCTGCGGGCACCGCAGCTCCTCATGATTCCCAGGGGCCCACGTGGCGTGGTGCACACCCGGCGATCGGGGCTGTGTTTGACTCAGCGCCCACCTCAAGTGACAGACATGGGTGACTTCTCCCTGAAGAATGAATGCATGGGTGAGGCGCCACAAGGCCCAGCTCCCTTTGTATCCCTGGGGTGCACTCGAGCACCCCAGCGGCTCAGAGGTGGCCGTTTTCTAGATGAGGCCATGAACCGGCGTGTCACGTTCAGAGCCATCATGAAGCTGAGAGTAGCTCAGCCATCTTGGTGCAAGTGTCGGCATATGGGGGCAGTTGATAAGGCCTCGCAAGGGACACCAGCCAAGAAGAGGGAAGGTGCCCTGAGGAGCCAGGAGCTGGATCTGGGTGCCTAGCATGGCGAGTGGCCTGCCGGGCGTTCAGAACCAGGTCTTTTCTGTGTCCTGACAACAGACAAGCAGAGAGAGGACTCAGTGACAGAAACATACAGACTTGGCTGGTCCTGAAAGGACAGGAGGGGGTGGGGGTGGGGGCTGAGTTGTGACAGGGCTATAATGGCTCACCTGAGGCCTTGCAAGGTGGACGCCCTCCCAACAACTGGCTCCACTGACCCTAAGCCGTGTGTTTTGTTCCCTGTGTCATGTCTTTGATTTCGGAAAGGGGAGATCCACTTCCTAAAAGGGACACTCTTATCTCTGTTTTGAAAGAAGCAGCGTGTCCCTCCCTTTGTCTCTGGCAGTCAGTGGCCTGGGACACTTCCCACGAGGTCTCTTGGGTTTCCTCCGGAGCAACACGGGCTTCCTCTCCTAGCTTTCTGTTACCTCGCACTGCCGCACTGTGTATGGCAAGTTCAGGTCTTGCTCCTAAGTGGAAGCCAAGAGCTAAGCTAGAGAAAAAGGAGCTGAGGCTTCCAAAGCCTGTCTGAAGCTTCACGGTCCTCCAGCCCCTAGAACATTACTCTGGGCTCATAGTTTCAATAGTTCAGTACCAAACACTTTCACCTGTGAATGTGTTTGGTAAAATAAATAGCAAAAAATGTGCATTTTAACCACTCAGGGTATACGCTTCAATGGCCGTAGATGCATTCGCACTGTAGCTCCGCCATCACCACCCACCAATTTAGAACTCCTCATGCTGTTGGAAACTGAGGCTCAGAACCCAGAGCAGTGACCCGCACCCCCTCCCACCAGCCCCTAGTGGCCGCCATTCGCCTGTCAGTCTGCACGAGTCTGACTGTTGTAGATGTTCGTTTGTTTTGTTTTTTGCAGTACCTGGGGTCCAGCTCAGGTCCTTGTGCTTGCCAGGCAGGTGCTTGTGCTGCTGAGCTGTCTCCCCGGCCCTGTAGATCTTCTTTTGTGGCCTTACTTCACTTAGCACCATGTCCTTGGGGTTCATCGCTCTTTTCTGTGGCCGAATGAGATTCCGCTGTATGGTTAGACCACATGTTGTTTACCCGCTCAGTCAGCAGGGGACTCTCAGGTTGCTCTCTCCCTTGGGCGAGCAAGCCATGCTGCTGTGCTCCAAGTGCCCGCGCTCCTTTGGATGTAAGTGTAATTTCCTGAGGAGCTGTGACACCGCTTCCCTCGGGGCCTGTGCCGAGTGGCACTGCCGTCTGCGGTCACGATACAGGACGAGGGTTCCAGCCTTCCACATTCTCCCCAACAGTTTTCTGCTTTCTGGCTTTTGATTGTAGCCATCCTATGGGAAGGGGCTGTGAAGTGGGGTCTCATTGTGGCTTGGCGTTGCATTTCTCTGGTGATTAGTGGTGTGTGCCTTTTGGCTATCTGTAAAGAATACCTTCTTTGGAAATGGATCAGAGTCTCCTGAAATGTCCTTCAGCCTGAATAATATAACATGTGATAGACTGAGGGGGGTGGCCCAGGGAGAGGGATTAGCAGAGGGGTTTTTGATTCGTTTTCTAGGCTAGTCCTGCGTGTCTCACGCCCCAGAGATGGCTAAGCTTTCACCCCAATTATCTGACTCACAGAATGTACAAACTTTACAATTATTGGTATATAATTGGAGACAACTGTAGGTTTTTGTTTTGACAGGAGGCTGGTTTGCTAGGAACAGTGTGATCATTGTTTGAGTGGTACCGCTGCACTGGGGCAGGATCTGTTTCTTCTTTCACCTCCTACGCCCTCCTCTGGCAAGCAAGGGGGGCTCTAGGGTGTCTTGCTTTCACTACCAATGCAGGAGGAGCTCTGGGGTTGGCAGCTGTACTGTTTGGACTTGGGACCTCAAAGGGTACTTGGCACTCGCTGCCTACGTATATGGTAACAACTGACCACAGACTGCATGGTTCAAAGCAACACAAATTGATTCTCTTCCAGTTCTGGAGACTAGAAGTCTAAAGCCAAAGTGTCACCTGGTCCACTCTCCCCCACAGTGTTCAGGGAATACGCACCTTCCTTGCATCTCCTGGCGTCTATTGGCCCTGGACATTCCTTGACTTGTGATGTCACCCCGATGTCTGCCTCTGTCTTCTCATGGCATCCTCCTCTTCTCCCTGTCTCTCCTCTTGTGAGAAGTGTACCTCTGTAATAGCTGTCCTTGGGTGTCGGACCCACCAGCGTAACGGCCCCATAACCCCTGCATCTATGAAGACCCTTTTCCATGGAAGGGCACATTCTCAGATTCCAAGGCTCAGGACACGTTGGGAGCCACTGCTCACCCCACCATCACAGTCCCCACCGTCATGGTCCCCACCATCATAATGCAGCACTGTTTCGTACATCAGGCTGGAGCCTGGGCTGGCGCTTCTCCTGAACCCTGAGCCTCTTCATTGGTAGAGTCTGCTTCTGACTGGTTGCTTTCCCTGAGTACCACCTCTGTGGTGATAGATGTCCCCAGAGATGACTTTTCTTACCAGATTCTTTGGAAACAAGTGGTCTGGTGCCAAGGTGTAAGCCAGCAAATGCACTCTGGCCACACAGTCCCTCAGACACCAAAGCATTCCTTTCCTGAGACTGTCACAGAGATCTTTGAAGAGAGAAAGTTTTTATTTTCCTCCCAGTCACTGAAATCCCATAGCTTAGATCTTGGTCATCCTTAAACCCCCTAAACAAGTGCTGTCTTGGCCCATACTTTTCCTACTTCTCAGGCAAAACTTATGGCTAGGGACTTGATTAAATCTCTGTTTCATGCTAGTTAAGAACTTAGTGAAGACGCTGGGGAGATACCTCAGTAGAATAAGCGCTTGCCCAGCAAGCACAAGGGCCTGAGTTCAATCCCCAGGAGGAAGTGGCTCCTCCTGCCCAGGTTTGCGTACCAGTCTCACACTCCTTTCTGTGGGCCTGGGGATGCAACCCGGGCCCTGCCTAGGGAGCGCATGCTGGGCTCCGCTGCTGGTCACATTCCTTCTTCATCCCCTGCGCACCTGCTTTCCTGAACTTCTCTGTTGTACGTGGCTCAGCATCTGGCTGGGAGGCCTGGGAGCCACTCCAGGGCAGGCTTATGCTGAGGCTGCCGGCGAGCCAGTGAGGGATCCGAGGGACACCAGGAGAGCCCTCCAGGAGGTGGGGAGGGGAGTCTGCTGCAGAGAAGCAGAGATGTATGAGGATGATAATAGTAACAGCTGCCTTTAATGGACGGTTAACAGGCACTTGGCACTGCGCTGGGGACTTTGCGTGCATTTTTCTCATTTAATTTTATTTAAGCCTCATCGTGATCTTATGAGGCTATTCAGTGCACAGATGAGGAGGTAGGCGCAGGTCTCTGCAGTCACTGCCCAGAAGGATTCCCGCTGATAAGAGGTAGAGCCAGGACCAGAACCAGAACCCTGGCAGTGGGCTCTGGGTCTGTTCATTATTGCCAGCCTGCTGCACTGAACAGGGGAGTGAGCCGTGCTTTGCACAGGCAGCGGGCAGCTGGGGCAGGCGGGCAGTGGCCACTAGGGCCAGGCCCCTGTCAGCGGGCAGGCTTGGCCTGGAGGCCAGTCTGGGGGTCTTACAGGCCAGTGGGCAGGATGCTGCCTCAGCAGCCCCTGCTAGCAGAGGTCCGCAGCCACCTTGGCGGGGTAGGAAGCGGTTGTGGGGGCCCCCTTGACCCTCCTGAAGGCCATGTGTCTGCTCTGTCTTCTCATTTGCTTGTTTCCCTGGCACTCTGGGGAGATGAGGTAAGAAGCTGCTGCGGGGGCTCGAGGAGCACTGGGGAGCCGCCTGGGCTGTGCTAGCCATGCGCTCAGTGAGCCGAATGAGGAGATCCCAGCCCCTGGGCTCTGGGGCGGGACAAATGGTGGGACCCCTGGCAGCACGCAGGGGCCTGTGGGACAGAGGGAAGGAGAGGACGGGCATTGAAGTAAACGCATGGTGACTTTGCTCATCCACTAGCCGTGCTGTGTGAAGGCTCGGGGAGATAACAGTTTTGCAGTGCGTTTTCCTGCCAAGTCCTGGTGTGAGCTAGGAAGCGGCTCCCCGTGGGACACTTGTCTCAAGGCCATGGCAGCCTGCACTATGCTGTCCAAATCAGCTCCTACAGGGACACACAGTGCCCACTGGTCAAAGATGGCAAGTGTAAGACTCCAGCTGCGCAGTTGAATTGGAGAAGTCACAGTGCTTGAGACACAGGCAGCCTCCTTTCTTCCTGGTAGATTTTGCCATCCCTGAGACTTAGATAATCAGTGACTGAGTTAATTGGCCCCAAGCAAGCAAACGTAGATACAGAACCAAATACCACGTAAATACATGGGTGTTTTGTGTTTGTGACTCAGTGCTGGGGGCAAAGGAAGAAGGGCGCGCACCCTACGGACTGGCGGGGAGGCCTTGACTTTGCTTCAGTCTCCCAGTTGTCAACCTTGAGGTCCTCACCAGGATTTGACCAATTCCTGGGAGTTTCTTATGTACCCAGGTACCCTGAGTTCTTCCATAGCCAGGGGTCAGGGTGACTTTAACATGACTGGTTTTGTTGGTAGTATCCAGGGCCTTCATGCTGAGTTACATCCCCCGCCCTTTTTTATTTTGAGACAGGGTCTTCCTGTGTTACTGAGTTATCCAGGCTGGACTCAAACTCAGGATCCTCCTGCTCAGCTGCCTAGGGTGCTGGGATCACAGACATGCGCCACCTTGCTTGGCTGGGATGACCTTCACGTACCAAGCAGGAGAGTTGCGTCTCCTACTCTGCCCAGCCCCCGGCGCAGCATCCCTTGCCCTCACGACCCATAGATGAATGCTCAAGTCCGTTTCATTAGTAGGCACTTGAGCTTCTGTAAACAGGAGTGAATGGAGGAGGTTTGTGCAGCTGATGAGAGAAAGGGCCCGAAACCCAGGATTCCCAGAGCGCCCGAGAGGGAGCAGAGTGACTGAAGTGGCAGTGCCCTGCCAAAGCTTCAGCGTGGACCATGCTTTCGGGAAAGTGTGGCTGAGCTTAGTGGCTGCATCGCCTTCTGCCTCTGAGCCGAGTGCTTCGGTGGGATACAGTGCAGGGGTGGCATCCATCCCCACTCACACACAGCTAACGTTGTTTTCATTTGTGTAATCCTGGTGTCCATGTCTAAATATGTCTTTAGGACGGAGAAAAGTTGATTGCAAACAAGACCACAGTTGCAGCCATCATGGACCAAGCAGTCCACGAACCTGAGAGAGACCAGGTCCCATGGCCACGTCTGTCAGGGCTTCTTATCCAAGTGAGTACTACCGTACACACGGCCGCCCGCAGTCAGGCGGGGGCTGGAGAACCTGCATACCAGCAGGCCTTATTTGCCTGTGTGTTAAAAAATGGATCCACTACATTGATTAAATCAATTAGTGCTGGGTATGTTTAAAAGAAGATGTATGTCTTTCATTAAGGTAGGTCAGCTACTTTTGCTGTGTGACAGATACCTCAGAACACACTGGCTTCAAAGGACAACAGTTTCTTTGCTCCAGACTGTGCATTTGGAGCTGGACCCAGCTGGGGGTCATTGGCTGGTCTCCCCAGGGCTTAGACATGGAGCTGCAGTCCTGTGGGCCCCCCTGAGGTGTGTGGCCTCAGGGGGCCTCACTCACACATCTAGGTTGTCAGCTAGGCATCCTGGATTCTGTTATGTGGCCTCCAGTACTCCTGACTGGACCTCCTGGTGGAGTGGATGGTGTCTTTCTGGAATGACAGTGACTGGGGCTAGACTTCCTAAGACCCAGCGTCACAGGTCTCAGAAGGACTTGAAGGAATCATGGAGCCCGATAGGTGTTGGGCCTCTGGGAGAGGGCCACAGTTTGACTCTCTCTTACTGAATGTCACACATCAAAAATGGAACCCCATCGAGGGGAAGTGTGTTCCTGTCCAGCGCTAGCAAGGTAAAGATCCTGAAGGCTACTGTTCTGGGGACAGAGCTCAGAGCAAGGAGTCTCCTGCGGTGCTGAGGTTGAAACTACTTGCTAGCCGAAGGCTGCAAAATGAAGGTTCTACTGTTGTTTGGCAACCAAAAAAATCACAAACTGCCGTTGTCATGAAGTTTCAAATTTGTGTATTTTTCAGGATAGCTTCTTTTTCCTCTTAGATCTTTTTTTCTCTTAGATTTTTCTTCCTAGTTTGAATTTCAAGGAAGACAGTGTTCTAAAGGTAAACTATTAAAAAAGAATGTTTGTGTCTTGACTTATATACATGTTTTTGCACGAGGCCTCCTCAAAATAAATTCTGCTAACAGTAAAAGCAGAAGGGTTGGGGGACGAACCCAGTGGCCTACATCATTCTCTTACTTATTAGTAAATATTATTACTTGCATGTTTATTATTATTAAAGATTATTGCACATTTTTCTGAGTAGACGAGGAATTGCTTTTCTGAGCCAGTCACTGAGAAGCGCAGTGTAGCAGACAGGAACTCAGGGCACGACGGGAACCTTCCAGAAGCTTCTGCAGGTGTGAAGTGTCGCTGCCAAGAATGCGCCCACACCTGTGCGCGCTTACTTCATGGGGAGCACTTCGCAGAACCGCCCAAGTACTAGACATGTAACAGGGGCTTTTTTTTTTTTTTTTTTGGCAGAACCGGGGATTGAACTTAGGCCCTTGCGCTTGCAAGGCAAGCGCTTCTTCTACTGAGCCATCTACCCAGCCCCTGATATGGGGCTTTAAGAATAAACCATTCTAAAACGATGAGACACTTTCCTCCATGGGTTATTTTTACTTTCTTAGGAAATAAAGTTGGAACGAAACTTACTCATTTTCCTTCGGGGAGAATACAAGAGTTGCAGTGAAGCATGGCCAGATGATAGCTTTTGTTAGAAAGGAAACGGCCGAGCCACAGGCCACAGCAGTCTTACCTGGCAGGCCAAGAAAAATCGAGGTTTGTCTTGTTAAGAACCCCAGATGAAGTTTTAGGAATACCTTGGGGAAGACAGAGAGCCTTAGACCTTTGGGAACACTTGGAGAAAGATTATGCAGCAGGTGACAGTCTGCATGTTGGTCTCTGGAGGGAGTGGCCTTGAGGAGCTGAGCCTGCTCTGTCCCCTGCCTGTCCCTGAGCCAGCTGTGCACACAAGCACGTCTGTCCTCCGAGCACAAGGGGTTCCTAAAAAGGAAAACAGAGCCACGGACCTGAGCGGTGAACAGCACCCTCAGTGTGTCTGCACCCCCGAGCGGCCATCAGGGCCTTCTGAGGTGGCTGGGCTGAGACCTGAAGGGACACACAGTCCTGCCCGAGGTGTCAGGGAGAAGATGGAATGCAGTTTCCTGCGTGGACACTGTTTCTTTCTCATGTTTTAAGGGCAAGCTCTGCGATATCTGCCTGGCTTTCTCGGCCTTAAAGGAATGCCCGCGTAGCAGATCAGATACCAGGAGCAGGGAGGTGTCCCCTTTGCTCTCTTTCCTTTTTTCCCAGATGGACTGGTTTGATTCTAGGTGCTTTGATTTCCTTTCCCTAACTACAGGACCTAGATCACACCACCAGAACTGAATAGGTCTGTCTGGGAATCGGTTGCTCTCACTCCCCTCCTTGCTAATCCCAGAGGTGGAGGTGGCACTGGTAACAGCTCTGGTGTCGGGCAGGGTTTCCGTTGCACTCAGGGCAAGTCAGCTGTGCCTCTCCTAGCTCCGAGGGCTCACCGATGGGGACCTCTTGTCACCGTCTGTTTCCGCAGACTCAGAAGTGCACAGTGATCGGAGGCTCAGGGTTCCTGGGCCAGCACCTCGTGGAGCAGCTGCTGGCCAGAGGCTACAGCGTCAATGTGTTTGACATCCGCCAAGGCTTTGATAACCCGCACGTGCGCTTCTTTCTCGGCGACCTCTGCAGCCAAAAGGTAAAGAACCCACAGTTGCCCCAGGGAAACCTCCGCACGCCTGAAGCTCAGAGACAGGCCACATTAGTATTCAGAGGTCATTCCTTTGTTTTGTAAAGTTGAAGTTACAGGAAAAACCAACACACTCCACGTTACTATCATTTAGCACGAGTAGCTTACACGTCATAGCAGCTTGGCTGTCACGGAAGCATGGCAACACAGGCGGTCCACACTCTAAAGAACAGATGTGGCCGTGTACCCAGAAAACATGATGGAGCCAGCATGGTGGCACATGCCCGGACACCCAGCACTCGGGAGGCTGTGGCAGGGGATTGATGTGAGTTTGAGGCCAGCCTGGACTGCACAGTGAAAACTTGTCTCAAGAAGACAAGAGAGAATCAGAGAGAGAGAGAGAGAGAGAGAGAGAGAGAGAGAGAGAGATTGATTTGGCTCAGTGCGAAGGCCCTGGGGTTCAATCCCGGTATTGGAGTCGTGCAGGTGCCGCCCCAGGGTGTCCGTGTCCCGTACCTGAGCTGTAGCTCCCATGCCATGAGCTGCTCAGCGGGAAGGCAGGGCTGTGCAGCCGTTCCCCTCTTGCTGCAGAGCACCGCACCCCGTCCAGTGGAGACCCCCCACCACTTGCTTCCTGGTCCTTCTCCCTGGCAGCCCTAGCCCCCAGCACCACTCATCAGCTGCAGTCGCTGATCCTTCCTGAAGTGGAATCACATGGTAGGCAGCCCAGTGTGGGGAGGGCCGGTGCCATGTAGGGAGCTGCTGTGTCAACTTTGGTGGGCTGGCTGGGTGAGTGGGGTGTACAGGGAAGACAGGAACCTCGGACTGCAGTTGATGGCATGACCAGGGACTCAGTTTCGTTTCTAAGGCCTTCACCCAACGGGCCGCGGCACCCCCCGCCACCACGTTGTGAGAGGGAGCACCCTTCCTAGAAAGTCCTCTTATGCCCGGTGCAGCGGCAGCAGCACGCAGACAGTGCTGGGCGAGATCAGAGCTCTAGAGCTGGCACGCCAGGGCCCCACTGCGGCGCACTTCATGGTGGGCCCCCGCCCTGATGAGAGCCGGCGCTCTCTCCCTGGGCTGCGCAGTGTGCACACGGGCCTCTGTGGCCCTCCATGGTGGTGGCCAGCCCTGCCCGCACGGCCCTGTGCCTGCCAACCCCCCTGCCCGAGAGTGCGTCAGTTTAAGGACACACTCATGCAGTCCCTGCTCCAGTCAGGGATTCCCTGACTCTTGCACCAGCAGTTTCCCCTTCTCTGAGTCCTTACTTCCAGTTCCCCCTTCCACTGTCCCCTGCCACCATGTACAGAGGTCTTCAGCAAGCAGCACAGTCACCAGGGATCTGAAGGAGGCCATATGTGGCAGCTAAGTCGCAGCTGTCTTGTAACCTGGCCCTTTGGCAGCGACTAGTGATTTCTTTGCTTCTAGGAGTCCTTGTCCACCCACTTCTCCATTTGCCTCAGCCACTGTTTGTTCTCTTTTCTTTCTTTTTTGTTTATTTTATTTATTCATTTATTTATTTTGCGGAAGCGGGTATTGAAGTCAGGCCCTTGCGCTTCCAGGGAAACGCTTATTCTACTGAGCCATCTCCCCGGCCCCTGTTTATTTGTTTTAACACATGGTCTCACTATGTGGTATAGGCTGTCGGACTTGCTGTGCACCTAGGCTGGCCTCAGACTCCGCAGTCCCCCTGCCTCAGCCACCCGAGTGCTAGGATGCCAAGCGCGCACCACCATGCTCGGCCCCCTCCCGTTTCTAAGCCTTGCAGCCTTCAGTCTCTCTTATGACCCTTTTGTTCTCCAAGAGCAGTCCGTATCCAGGTGAATCCATGCCAGTGAGCTGGCCCGCCCCCAGCCTGAGGCACTGCCCCGTAGTCTCCAGCCTGACCGGTGTCCCACTGCCCTGTGGGCATCATGGTCTCCATGCTTTTACATTTTTGTGTTGTAGTCTGTTCAAATAAGGTCCCAGCCCAGGTCAAGACTAAGCATTTGGTTGAAACGCTGAAGTCTCTTTGCTTTCCAGGATCCCTTTGTCTCTTAGAGCTCGCATGTGTCTGGTGAAAGCCAGTGTGCCGCACACACCACGTGCATCCCGCAGCCTTTCCCGGGCTCTGGGCTCTGCTGAGTGCAGAGTGTGTAACTCGCCTCTCCATCCAGGGTCCCTCTGACGAGGCGCTGGCGGGCAAAATCTACAGCGGCTTGCAAAGACTGAAAGGCAGGAACGCAAATAGCTCATTAGAGGGCCGGCTAGATAGTTCAGGGGACTAAAGTGCCTGCTTAGGTGGAGCACAGTGGCCAGGGTTCCACCCCTGGCATGCCTTGCTGGCCCCGCCCCAGGGCGTGCTGAGCCAGGGATTGAGGCTGGGCGTGGTAACACGTGTTTGTAATCCCAGTGTTTGGGAGGCTGAAAACAGGAGGATCACTACAAGTCTGGTCTATGCCCCTGTACTAAATACATTTAAAAACTAGCTCATTAGTAACTTTTACATTGCCCACGTGAGGTGGCTCACGCTTCGCATCCCAGCACTCAGGAGGCTGAGGCAGGGCTATTGCTGCAAGCATTAGGCCAGCCTGGGCTGTAGAGTGAGTTCAAGGCTGGCCTAAACAAGATAGCAAGAGCCAGTATTGGAAAAGCAAAATGACATGAAGTTAATAGCTTTTTTATTAATTGTGTTAAAATGATATTTTACATAAATACAATAAGATTAATTTCATCTGTTTTTGTTTATTTTTATTTATCTTTTTGCCATACTGGAGTTTAAAATGCAGAGATGCTCAACCACTGCCCTACATTTCCCAGTCCTATCTGTATTTCTTTTTGAGATAGGGTCTTACTGAGTTGCCCACGCAGGACTTGAACTCATAATCCTCTTGCCTGTACTTCTAAGTAGCTGGGACTGCAGACCCACGCCTACACCTCACTCCTTACTGTCTGCATGCAGTTGCTACAAAATTCAGAGTCACATATATGGTGGGTAGCATATTTCTATTCGATTAAGGATTTGATCTGCAGCTGTATGTATATGTTTAATTTATGTTTGTTTAGTATATGTTTTGTCCATAGTTTCTAGTTCAGACTCCCTCCGTAAGGCAGGCTATACAAAGTAGAATTTTTCTCTTATTTTTTCTTTTTGTCTTTGTGAGATGGGGTCTCACTGTGTAGCATAGCCCAGGCTGGACTCACTCATGACAATCTTCCTGCCTCAGCCGTCCAAGTGCTGGAATGCCAGGTTTGCAGCACCTGCCCAGCTAGAATTCCTCTTTTTAAAGATGGGTTGCAGGCACACAGGGTCCTGGCCCTACCTAGAGAGTCTGAGAGAATCCAGACAGACAGGCCCTGCTGGCTTGCTCTGTCCCGGCTGTTGGCAAGAGCTCACTCCCTGATCGTCCTCTGACCACATCTCTACCTGGCTGTCCGTGCTTCAGTTCTGCTTAGATGTTGAAACTTCCGGCAAAGCCGAGAACTCAGGCTCTGGTAGCCTCCTGCCAGCTGGGTAAAGGGCAGTTCCTGCGAGGTGTCTCTCTGGAGAGGGTGTCTCGTCTTCTCCATCCTTTGTGGGATTTCCCAGTGTGCATGAGGTGGTGCGACAGTGCTCCTGTGAGCCCCTTGCGCAAACTCAGGTGTCCAAGGTGAGCAGTGGGGATGCAGCTCAGTGTTGGGGACTCTGGCTGGCCAGGTGAAGTCAGCACCGAACAGGACTAGGAGATGCTTGCCGGCTGAGCAGCACTTCAGAAGTCGTCTGTGCTGATTCGAGGTCAGTTTTGCTCCGTATCCTCAGATTCCCAGTGGCAGTACGCATGCTGAGTGTCCCTCTCAGGACCAGATTAGCACAGGTACATCAAAGGACAAAGGAGCCAAGCTGAAAGTGCTCTGCTGGCCGCATTTGGAGCATACTGTATTTCATACAATATAATGGTAGTGGATTATTATGTATTGAGTTGTTTCAAAAGCCATATGTCCATAGGATGAACAGTTAGGGTGGGGAGAAGAAGCTTTCCATACAGAGGGTGCCCGTGGTGTGCGTCTCTGGCAGCTCCTGCAGCCAGGAATGAGTGTCCCAACAGGGAACAGCGGGACAGGCCTGGATCTGCAGCTCACAGATTGCTTGCTGGCTGCACAGGGGAAAGGGAGCTTGTGCATCGCCAGACTCAGGCAGAGCCTGCCTTCACCAGGGGACCCATCTTAGCGTCACCAGTGTTGGGACAGAGGTGTGCTCCTTGAGGACATGCCGCTGCTCGAGCCAGATTCTCTCCGCATCTGTTAAGCCTGAATGTAACCCTGGAGAAACACAAGTGCACGTCAGGGACGGTTTGGAAAGCAACCAGCCTGATCCCTTGAAACACAGCAGCATTACGGAGGACAGAAAAGACAAAAATCATTCCAGATTAAAGCACCCAAAAGAGACAGAAGGTCTAAATGCAGTGTGTGACCCGTGAGCGGATCCCAGAGCCTAAATTCAGGACATCCAGGGAAACTTGAATATAAAATCGGATAGCGTATGCAGGCTGTTGGCACTGGCTTTGGAAACACTGTCTCGTGGTTGTTCAGAGACCATAATCCATGCGCACTCACTCTTGCTCCCCTTCTGCTGGGGACCAGCTAACAGGAGAAGGGGATAAGGATTCGAGGTGCTCCCACTTCCATGCACTTCCGAGGCACGTAGGTCTATGAGAATGTGATTCCGCATCGCTTCCACGGTTACAAAGGCAGGGATCCTGCTGCCCCTCCCCCCGCAAGCCGAGAATGTGAGAAGTGACTCTGCTGTCCTTGTGTGCTTTGCAGGACCTGTACCCGGCTCTGGTAGGCGCAAGCACTGTTTTCCACTGCGCGTCACCCTCACCATCCAGTAACAACAAGGAGCTCTTTTATAGAGTGAACTTATCTGGCACCGAGAACGTCATTGACACTTGCAGGAAGGCTGGGGTTCAGGTAAGGGGAAGGCTGCTGGGAACGCTGTGGGAACACGCGGTGAGTGGCCTTTGCTGCCGTCGGGGTTGTGCCGAGCTTGCTTCTTAGGTGCTGTCGGGAGCTTAGAAATTCAGGCGTGGACGTGAGTAGGGATCATAAGGGGCCACTGGGCAAGGCCAACTGGATTTGTAGCAAAATGTCTGAGAACCTTGAGTCTTCTATAAATGGCTACAGAATCTAGACATTACTAGTATTTTTGTTTTCATTTTGTGTATTTGTACAGGGTTTCACTGTGCAGATCGGACTCGTGCTGATCCTTCTGTTTTCAGCCTCCCTAGCGCTGGGATTACAGGCACTCGCCACCACACCTGGACTCTGTCGCTAGCTTCGTGTGCCCCCCCAGGGGGAGGGGCAGCATGGGGGGCCGGAGATTGAACCCTGGTCCCTGCACTTGCCAAAGCAGATGCTTAGTCTGCTGAGCTATCTCGCTAGCCTATTACTGGTATTTTAATTGAGTCAATAATGCGCATAACATTTTAACCGTTGTGGGTAGACCTTTTAAGCATGTCTAAGTAGACAGTGAGCCGTTTATGCACCCAGCATGGCTGGCTAGTTCCAGAACCTTTTCCTCTTCCCCAGCAGAAGGTATGCCCCTGTTGAACAATTCCTCTTTGTTCTGGGCAGCCATGAGGCCACTGTCTGGCTGTGGGAATACTTTGAGGTCCTCACAGGAGGTGGCGTTTACAGTATGTGTCCTTTTGTAGCTGGCTCACTTCATTTAGCATGATGTTCCAGGCTCTTCCGTGTTGAGGCAAAAGTCTTATTTTTTCCCCTTTGAAGGCTGCATGCAATCTTGCTGATGGAGGGCCCCAGTTTGTTCACTTGTGTATCCATGGATACTCCTACATCCATGTGTGGTGCCTTCCCATCAGAGCACTTGTGAGTGATGCTGCTATAAACATACCGGATGGCTGCTCCAGCCCTGGGGACAGCAGCACCAGCCCAGTGACGTGTGCCAGAGGCCCTGTGTAACTGGGGGGAAAGAGCACAGTGAGCTGGCAGCCCCGCTCCCAGCAACCCTGGTCCCAGCCTCCCCACTGGCCGGGCAGGAACAGGCCACAGAGCAGCACTGCTGGGCTTCTGTGGGTGACAGCAGTAGTGGCCCCACCCTGCACACCTGACTAGCTGCCTTGAGATACAGCACTAGCTTCACATCTGTTTTTCTCCTCCTTTGGCAGCAAGGGGCCCAGGAAGTCTCTGCTGGTAAATATAAGAAAGAGGTGGCGCTGGAAGGCGCTTGTGGTACAGGAGCTTCGTGAAGCGCTTCGGCTGAGGGCAGGCCCGCTGGATGGGTGGCACGGTGCCATCCATCAGTGCCCCAGGCAGGGCTGGGCCTTGCTTCCTCACGGGTGGCGACTCTTCTGCATTTGGCTTTACTCTTTCTGTTTGCTCCCTGGGTAGCTGGGTGCGTGTGCTAAAAGTGTACGACGTGGTGTCACACTGAGTATTTCTTCTGGCTGCGTGCCTTTCTGCTCTGCGTTACCTTCTGGAGCTTTCTCCGTGCTGGCACAGGGAGCGCCCGTCTGTTCAGTGAAGAGCCCGCATAGCTCAGTGGGGAAGGGTGCAGGGAATGCATTTCTCTGTTGTATCTGAGGAACCTTTGCCAACACCCAGATCAGAACTGTATTGGATCTCAAAGACTGAAGGATTACTTTCTGTGCGGAAGTCTTTAGTCCACTAGGAATCTAGGTTTGGATACAGTGAGATCAAGATGCAGCGATTATTTCTGTGGGGATAGCCAGGTCAGTGCAGAATGTGGCCCAGACACTCCTCCCCACGCTCTGCCTACATCCTGTCCGGGCTGCTCCTGCCTGCCCGGGCCCTGCCCTGCTTCCTGCTAAGCTGTGCCAACCTCAGTGCCAGGGCTTTACAGGGCTCTGCCTTTGTGGGGATCGTGTCTGGTAGGACATGTCACCCCCAGCCCACACCTTTAAAGCTCACCAGGCCCTTCTCAGCCCTTTACTCTTCTGTATAATATTTTTTTAGGGGGAGGGTTTGAGACAGGGTCTTGCTGTATAGTCCAGACGGCTGTTGAACTCATGCAGCCCAGACTGGCCTCCAACTCCTTGGGATCGTCCTGCCTCAGCCTCTGGCGTGCCAGGATGACAGGTGTGCACCTCCATGCCTGCCTATATATATTTTAAAATCAGCTTGTCAAGTTTCTTGATGCTACAGTCAGTGTTGTGGTTGCATGGAGCTTCTGGGTAACTCTGAAGAGAACTTGCACTACTAGCTTCCTCTGCATAGACCTGAGCGTACGCGCTCATGCGCTCTGTCTGTCTGTCTCTCTCTGTCTTTGATGCTTTGCTGCACTTCATGAAAGTCTCATGTATCTTTTGTTTTGCTGTATATTTTTTCTTACTCATTTTCGCATTACATTTTAGATTGTATTGCTCTTGCATTCGGCGGCCTTGCTGAACTGTGACATTGTTCACATGTGCCCACGTGTTCTGTGTCTAGATGTGGCCATCAGCCGCCAGGGGTGGCACTGGGACTCTCGCAGCATGCGTCTGTCTTGTCCTTTCGCTGTCTAGGGCTACTAGGAGTGTTGAGCCAGCCTGGGCGCCTTCATAACTTAACAGTATGCTGTCTTCAAGTAAGAAGTGTTCTCAAAGGGCGAGGTGTGTAGATCAGCGTGGAGGCTCTGGGTTCAGTCCCCAGTACCAGGGAAAAACCAAAATGACGTGATGTGAACTGCTGGTGTCGCGTGTCACCAGAAGGTTGCAATCTAAGGACCCTCAGAAAACAGCCTCTTTTTGTGTTGTGAACCTGTGGCCTCATGCATGGAGCCAAGTGCCCTGTTAAGTAACATTTAAGTCGTGTGTGTGTGTGTGTGTGTGTGTGTGTGTGTTCCCGTGGCCTGGTCGATATCAGCGATCCCTTGCAAGTAGGCCTCTCCCTCAAGTTTGCCAGCCTGCCTGGCCCGTAGAGACTCCCGTGCTGAGATACCATCAGTCCTGTCACTCTGTCCTTCCCCTCGGGCCTGTTGGGCAGGACGAAGACGTGAGACCCTCTCGTAGAGTGCAGTAGCATAATGTGTCCTGGGGGCCACATTGCTGTGAGGTGCTGAGAAGCACGTAAATTGATGGGACATGAGGGAAGATGCCCTCTCATTGTTGCTCAGACGTGACCGTTGGGGGACTGGAATAGTAGTTGTTCCTGATTCTTGTTTTCAATCTTCCTCTGCCAGAGACTCATTTTAACTAGCAGTGCCAGTGTCGTCTTTGAGGGTGTTGACATTAAAAATGGAACTGAGGACCTGCCCTATGCCGTAAAGCCCATTGACTACTACACGGAGACTAAGATCTTACAGGAGAAGGTACGTACCCCCACAAGGGCAGCTGAGTGGGGCCTGGGTGCCAAACTGGGGGGATCAAGTCACAGGTGAGATTAAGTTTGAAAATACAGGGAACTGGCTTCATACGGCAGTGTTCTGAGTCTTTTCTGGGAGCTGTCTGCTTTATACTTCCCAGCCATCCCATGAGGTAAGCGTCATCACCATGCGCAGATTACGGGTGAGGAGGACAATACGGGGGGAGCCCAGCTCTTGGCAGGGGCCACCTGAGTCCCTGAGGCCAGGCCCAGCTGCGGTCCTGGTTGAGCAATAGCCACTGAGCATTCAGGGTTCTCGGGCTCTGGGGACTCTGGCAGCTGCCCAGCTGTCCCTTTCACTGTGGAGGCATCCCAAGCCACAGGCCGCGGGTCCTCCTGAGCCCCAGGTCGCCTTCTCTGGGGCCCTGCAACTTTGCCTCTCTAGGGTACTTGCAGCATATGAATCCCGCCAGTGCCCGTGTTTGCCGCAGTAGAGCTCAGTGTTAACCAGCAGGACAGGCTGCAGCCAGTGCTCGCGTCAGCTGCCTTGGGCTGTTTGCTGTGAGCACAGCTTGGAAGAGCCCAGCAGAACTGCTACCTGGGAGACCTGACGACCTCCCCGAGTCCCGTGTCTGCACTCTGCCACCCTGCTCTGTGCAGCCGCAGCCTGCTAGGCTTAGGCCCAAGGAGCTCTGGAGCCTCCCCAGCGCCCAGAAGGAAGCTCAGTGCCTGAGACCCTGGGCATTGTCGGCTGAGATCCTGGGCTCTACACAGCCGTGCCAGTGTAGACTCGCAAGCTCCAGATAGCAGCCTGCCCTAGCTCTGGGTGCTCCAGTGGCAGTCAGCGACACCTGCAGGTGTCTCACCTGGAGCCTCTCGTGAGTGGAGAGTGCCTACTACAGTCCTCCCACCTGCTTCCTGAGCATGACTATGCGGCATGGACCCAGGGCCCTGCGGCTCTTTTCTCTGTGATAGGAGATGAACCTTGCTACTAGAGGTCACTTAAAGATTTGGTCCTTTCTCCCATTACCATGGAAATCAGGGCCTGGTGGCAAGAGGCAACAGCTCTGAGACTGTATTGAAAGAAGAATCTTCTCCATATTCAGGCAGCTTTGATAATTAGAAACTTCTGGGCCCACTTGCTTCAGTGTACCTGCTTTTCTGTAGGGTAGTACATTGGCACTGACTGAACAGGGAGACACATGCAGCCAGCCCAGGTCACTTAGGCCAGCTACCCCTTAGGAGACATATTAACTGGAACCCTCTCTCTCTCACATCCCCCTGCTGAGGTGCCTCTTTCTGGCTGCATTCCTGCATCATGGCCTTCAGAAGCCAAACCCAGGCTTTGTAATTGGACCCCACCATCTCATCTCTTGCGTTGTCAGATGGGGGAGGGTGAAGGGGATAGAGTAGCCCGGAACTGCAGCAGTGCTCACCTGGGCAGGCACCCCAAGGCAGACAGTGGCCATCTGTGCCCACGGGAAGTACTGCACATTCCAGCTTGTGGGCCACAAGCTTGCCTCAAACACACCTCTCCTGTTCCTTCAGACCGTGCTGGGCGCCAATGATCCTGAGCAAAATTTCTTCACCACAGCTATCCGGCCCCATGGCATCTTTGGCCCAAGGGACCCTCAGTTGGTCCCCATCCTCGTTGAGGCAGCAAAAAAGGGCAAGATGAAGTTCATAATTGGGTAAGTCGCCCTTTGCCGAGGCCAGCCCTCAGGCTCTGCGGTAGACACAGCTTGGCATGACTGGCTCCTCTGTTGTGCTGCTCTGGTGGAGAGCAGAAGTCCGAAGTGCAGCTGTTGGCCGGCTGGGTTCTAGAGGCCCGAGGGCAGATGCGCCAGTGCCTCGCTCTCCAAGGGTGGGGTCTTACTGTGCTGTGCGCATAGTTGTCTGCCTGCCTCAGTTTCCATGGCCCAGCTGTCTTCTTGGATGGCATCAACTGCTGGTGGGAGCTCGCCCTCCTCCAGTACGGCCTCAACCAAGTGCCCCCACTTGCACGACTTCCACACGGACATGAGTTGGGGAAGAACACTATTTGCATAGGCCTCTTTGCCCTCTCAGGTAGGCTGAGGGAGTACAGTGTGCCAAAAGAAACGGGCATCCACTTCACACAGAGCAAAGCTGGAGTGTGTATGCATTCTACTAGGCAGACTGTTCCCGTCCCTATTTGGAAATGAAGGAATATAAAACAGAAGAGGGCCAGGGATGTAGCTCAGCAGCACAGCGCCTGCTGGGCCAGAACAAGGTCCTGAGTTCAATTCCTGTTACCAAATTTTAAAAAAGCAAAAGAAGTGATTAGCCCAGACTCAAGGACCAGGAAGTCCTCCACTGCTGACTTCTAGAAGACGGATGTGTTGGGGGGTTACATCCATCCTGAAGGAACACACGGGAGTGGCCACGGGTGTGCCTGTCTCAGATGCACCTGCTCTCCCTTTGTTTCTGTTTTCTTCCTCCTTACCCTGTTCTTTCCTCCTCTCATACCTGGCCTCGCCTTCCTCTTTCTTCCTAAGCTTCGCTGGCCCTCTGACAGAGTGGCAGGAAGCTGTGTGGCTTCAGCCAGAAGTCAGCCTGGGGTATCCCGAGAAGGGGCTGAAGGGCTGCAGCCCAGAAGAGCAGGGAAGCCTGGGCCCTGAACAGTCAGTATCACTGCCTGGCCCTTAAATGTTCCACTGTCCCAGCGCCCCAGGGCAGGCCCTGCCAAGGCCACTGCTGGGCCGCAAGTAGCGCGGCCTCAAGTCTTGGGGCCAGCTGGGCTTGCCACTGAGTGTGTGGCATGACTGACCACTCCCTTGTGCACCTACAGAAATGGGGAGAACCTGGTGGATTTCAGCTTCGTGGAGAATGTGGTCCACGGACACATCCTGGCCGCAGAGCACCTCTCCCGAGATGGAGCCCTAGGCGGGAAGGTGAGGTTCCTGCTCAAGTGGCTCGGCCCTGGGCCTCTGCCTTGCGCCTCTGCCTTGCTTCACACTTATCGCTGCCATCTGATTTGCTGGCCAGTTGCCCCTGCATTCCGCCTCAGGACACCCCAGGCCAAGGCTGAGGGTCCCAGGCAGGAACGCTGTCAGGGCAGTGTCTCGTGACTTGGGGCAGCGAAGACCTAGATGCCTGTGTGGATTGAAGAGACTGAGGACACTGTCTTCCACAGCTGTGCCGTCTGCCTCTGTCCACGCGGCCACTCCAGGCAAGGGTTGGCACACATTGGGCAGGGTGCTGAATCCTCACCCTGTGTCCTCCACATCTTCCCCATGGCTCCACCGGCCTCCTGCCCCTCTGATCAGATGACATCCTTGGATCTCCCGGCCCTTGGTCCCAGCAGGCAGGGCAAGACTGGGATGGTGACTGTCTTGAGTGGGACGGCCATGTGGCTGGCAGCAGCAGAGCTCTGAGGGCTTGCGGAGCCCCGTCGCCCTTGCCTCCCACTCTAGAGCCCCTCACCCTGCACTCCTAGCTCAGGAATCCCTCTCACTGCCGGAATATCTTCCTTGTCCTGAACTTGTACTAGCTTCCCACTTGTAAGCCAGGTGGTGGTTGGGAGTGGGGTGTGTATAGCTTTGGATGTATAATAGGCAGAGCATATTCGAGGGATGTAATACAAGCCGTTCTTGCATCCAGAGGTAAGTTGAATCTTACCAAGATTTGCAGTTACTAAATTAACAGGTGTGCCTTCCCAGGGCAGTCCAAGTCTCACTGAAAGTCCTGGCCCAAAGCTAAAGTGGGCATTGCCCTTCCCCCACTGTGCATGCCTCCTGTGGGCACACTTGCCATCAGACCATGTGAAGCGCTGCTGCAGGCTCCTGAGGCGGCATAGCAGACGCCCCCTGTTCAGCTGTCCTGCTGAAGGGCAATCTCTGGGTTCCCCTGATAGAAGTCACAGGCAGCTAACTGCTATCCTCTTGTTCCCTTGCCAGGCATTCCACATCACCAATGACGAGCCCATCCCTTTCTGGACCTTCCTGTCCCGCATCCTGAAAGGCCTAAATTATGAGCCCCCCAAGTACCACATCCCCTACTGGGTGGCCTACTATCTGGCCCTCCTGCTGTCCCTGCTGGTAATGCTGCTCAGTCCCCTCCTCCAAATCCAGCCTACTTTCACGCCCATGCGTGTTGCGCTGGCGGGCACATTCCACTACTACAGCTGCGAGAAAGCCAAGAAGCTGATAGGCTACCGACCTCTGGTCAGCATGGATGAGGCGGTGGAGAGAACCGTGCGCAGCTTCCACCACCTGCGGAAGGTCAAGTGAGACCCTGAGAGCAGCCGAGTGCACCTGCCCTGGCCGGAACCCTCCCCTTGTACCGACCCATTAATAGCCTGGGCTCCTTGCCAGTTCACTGAGAGCACGCCCTGCCCCCTCTGTGACCACAGGGGTCACGGGACAGCAACAGGCACCTCTTCCTTCTTGGCCTCAGATCGGCATTCCTTAAAGGGAGTAGCTTTAAGTTCTGTCATTTTGTTCTCTCTCGCTCTCACTCTCGCTCCCTCCCTCCCTCCCTCTCTGCCCTCTCTCCCCCTCCCCCTCTCCCTCTCCCTCCTCCCTCCCTCTCCCTCTCCCTTCCCCCTACCCTCCTCTCTCTGGTTCCTTATCACAGTAACCCCCCTGCCCAAGTCACCCATCCCATTTCATTCCCATGACCTTGTACATAATCGAAGCTATAGGAAAGAAGCAACCCATTCGCAGATGGAGGATGAGGAACCAGGTTATTTCCATGCAAGCCAAGAGTAGAGTGGAAGCCACTCGGCTACCAGGGACTGCATGTAAATGATATCCTAGAAGAAAAGCCGAAGTTGTAAGCACGTTTAATGCTTCAAATGAACATTTCATATCCACATAGAGAAAAAAATACAGAGTGTGTGAACAACTGTCATTTCCAGTCCCTGGGGGAAGCGGTGATCTGGTGCGCTGTCCAGTTGTCCTGCTCTTCCCTGACACAAGGTGTTGGCCAGTGGACAGCTGGAGAGCAGAGAGTCCCGGAGCTGACCCAGCAGGGACTGTCGCTGCTACTGGTGCTCGTGGACTCCCTAGGGCACCGTGCAAATAACCCCTCAGCCTTTTCTATTTCTTGGTGGTGATTTGCTTCCAGAAACTGGTTTGTTCTCAGACTAACTGAAATGCAGTCTCAAAGATTCCCACTGCCCTCTGCCCCTCCATCCCCGGGGAGGCTGGAATAAACGGGGTGTGCGAGCTATGCTCTTTGTGGTGCTGGGGTACGAGCTGGGATGCTGGGCCAGTGGGGTCTCAGCCCACATAGGATAGTGACTGCCTGTAAGGCTCTTGGAACGGCAGAGCTCTTGAACCCATCATCAGACATGAGGGGCATGTGCAGAGGCAAACTGGGCCGGGCTCAGCTTGCGCGAGGCAGGTGATATGGTGAGTTGGGCCCTGAAGACGGGAAATCTGTGGCGGCCTCGGTGGTGGATAGTTCACACATCGGAGGGCAAGAATCAAGAAAATTGTCCCGCCTCCCAGTGTGGATCAGGGAGACCAGAGAAGTCAGAGGCCTGGGGAGGGGTGTGGCAGCGGGAGGACATGAAGCTAGCTCTGGGGACCAGACCAGCCTCGCAGCTTCCTGAGGAAAATGCTAGCAGCCGTCCAGGTAGGGATGTCCCCGATTGCACTCCGGCCCATCCACCCCATCCCCACTTTGTTTTATGTTAGGGTTCACTGCTGTGATGAGAGCCTGGCGCCCCCTTCCTCACATTTCCACAGATTTCCTGCGTACTCCAAGTCAGACACAGCCCGTGGGCTGCACAAGCCAGCCCATACCTAGCAGCTGTCCCAAGTTCTAGAAGTGCAGGCTGCCGTGAGCAGCAGGTGAGGCTGTGCGTGAACATGGCCCCAGAGGTGGCTGGAGGGCCAGGGAAGACTTTGGCTCCTCCACTTCTGTTTTCCTCACTCAGACCCACTTACTGGACCCCCAACACCTTTGGAGAGGGTCCATCTCCCATGGCCTCTGTGGCCCCCAAGAGTTCATGTTGAACAGACTGGCCCCGCTGATGGCTGATGGCCACTGGAGTAGCTCCCCCAGGTCTCCGGGCCCAGCCACAGCCTCCCCTTGGTGACTGGTACAGATTCTGGAGCCACCCCTACCTGATCCACTCCTGAAGGGTGTGGGCCTAAAATGACTTCCTGAGCCTCTCCTGTGTCATCCTTCCTGCCTGGAAAATCAGCCAAGGGAAGGCAGCTCTCCCAGCATGGGGACAGCTCTAAGCGCAGTGTCAGCTGCTGCATGCCCATGGGGTGATCTCTAGGTTCACTCCTCTTCCCTCCCCGGACACCGGACTTGGTTCAGCACCTAGGCCTGGTGCCCTGCACAGCCAACTGACCCAATCTCTGTGCAGCCCCAGTGTCCAGCCCAAAGCATCTGCAGAAGTGCGGAGGCAGGTCCCTGTGTCCTCCCCTTAAACCTGTTCCCACCCTTGCTCAGACTGTCCTGGCCGCCCCTTGGCCCCTTTCCCCAAAGCCAGCCTGAGTCTGCCTTCTCTGGATTCCCAGCTGGGGTAGGCTTGTGGCCTTTGCCAGCGTGTCTGGAGGATGAAGTGGCTGCACAGGAACCAGGCAGTGGTGTCCCAGCTTGCAACCCTGGTGAAACAGCAGCCGCCGCAAAGGGAGATGGTGGAAGAGTGGGGAGGGGAGAAGCCTGCTGGACTGGCTTGGTGCAGAGGTCCAGGCCCAGTGCTTTTCTCTGGGGCCTCTGAGATGGAGGGAGAGGGCACACAGCTTTCACCAGCATTTTCACCACAGAGGGCTGTGGCCAACTTTAGGAGGGTCCAAGAGACAAGCCTGGGGCACAGTGGTATCCTTGTCTGTGGTGTTCTGGAGCCAGCTCCTTCACAGTGGAGACCACGACTCTTACTAGGAAAGGACTAGAACCCACTCAGACTTTACCTGTGACTAGGTTGCTAGGGACTAAAGGGATGGGAAAGCCCGCAATCCCATATTGGCCAGCAGGGGGAGCCCTAGAGAAAAGAAACCAAGGCCGAGGACCCTTAAGGGCTATTAGCACGGGTTCCTGTCTCTGAGGATTTTCCAGAGAACTGTATAGAATGATTTACGTGCCAGGAGAGGACCAAGGTAGCATTTTTCCCAGCAACTGTTTATTCATTCATTCGTTTATTTTTTTTGCAGTACCGGGCATTGAACTCACTTGCCTATTCTACTGAGCTAACTCCTCGGCCCCGCATTGGTTTATTTTTGAGATGGGGATCTCAATAAGTTTTCCCTGGGGCCGGCCTGATAGCTCAGCGGACTAAGCCATGCCAGCCCCGCGTGCGGGATGCGCTGAGACGCTGATTGAGACTGGATGTGATGGTGCACGCCTGTAGTCCCAGAGCTGGAGAGGCTGAAAGCAGGAGAATCACTGAGTCCAGTCCTCATAGTGAGACCCTGTAGGCCCTGTAGACCCTGTCCTAGATACAGAAAAAAAAGTTTCCCCTACCTAGGAGTTCAACTCAAGATCTTCCTGCCTCAGCCTCCCAGGTAGATGGAATTACAAGCATGGGTAACGTGCCCAAATGAACTCTTGAGATTTTTTTAAATGTTTTTAATTTTGTTTATGTATTTGGTACAGGGTCTCACTACACAGATTGGGCTCGTAGTGTTCCTCCTGTTTCAGCCTCCCCAGAGCTGGGATTATGGCCAGCTTGGCACCTGGGCCAGCATGGCATATGGTACAGGCGATCGAACTCAGGTCCTTGTGCTTGCCAGGCAGGCACTTAGACCACTGAGCTATCTTCCAGGCCCTTTTTTTTAATTTTAAAGAGGAAAAAAACAAAAATAATAAGAACAAAGACAATAATAAAGCAACATTAAACAATAAAAAGAGCACAGAATTTGCAAACAATAGAAAATCAACAATGGTTGTTATATTACATATTGTGTTTCTTTTTTTGTTTTTTGTGTGAAACCAGGGATTGAACTCAGGCCCTTGCGCTTGCCAGGCAAGTGCTTATTCTACTGAGCCATCTCCCTGGCCCCCATTACATATTGTTATAATCAGATTTGTTGCTCAGATTATCAGATATAGGCATTCAAGGCTGATCAAATATCTTTTGAGATTCTTGAGATGGTTACTATAGAAGATGCCCCCCCATTATCAGCTTTGTCCTCCATGGCATGAAGGAGGAGCATCAATTCAAAAACTGCTTGCTGGGCTCCCCTTATACTCCAAGGCCTTGGAGGTGAGCAAGGTCAAGCTCTCGCCTTAGAGCGGTCACTGTCCTGGTGAAGAGATGAAATGCCAACGTTAGCAACCCAAGAGCTCCTTCTCTTAAGAGCAGGGGTGGTGGACCGTGAGCCTGGGCTCAAACATGGCTTGCCCTCTGCTCTTCGTTAATGAGTCTGGGTGCTACTGCTCGCAACCTCTTGCACACGTAGCGTCTCTGACTACTTGTTGGCCACAGTGACAGAGTTTGGTGTGTCCCACAAAGCCTGAAACACCATTTCACCCTGCACAGTAGAAGTCTGCCAACTCCATTGATACTCCGCTCTGGTGGTGCATGCCTAGCCTCCGGCTACTCAGGAGGCTGAGGCAGGAAGAGTGAAAGCTGAGGCTTGCCTGGCCAACTTAGCAAGACCCTGTCTCAAAATAAAAAACAAAAATGGGCTGTGGATGGAGCTCAGAGTGAAATTGGGTTCAGTCCCCAGCCAAGAAAACAAAAGTGCCCAAGAGGCTGGAAAAAATTTGTGAAGATGCTCAGCATGAATAGCCATCAAGCAAGTGCAAATGAACATGTGCTCACACATCAGAAGAGCTACTATTTTTTAACACAGTATTGGTGAGGATGAGGACTCCTTGTGCAATGCTAACAGGAATGTATAGCAGCTCAGCTGCTAAGAAAACAATGTGGCTTGGCCTCCAGAGTTCAACGTGCAGTTATGACGTGACCCAGCAACCGCACCTGTGAGTTCACACCCAGAAAGCCCAAAGGCAAGGCCTCGCGATGGGTGCGCATCCTCGCCGCATCGGCATTGGTCCGGGTAGCTCAAGGACAGAAGCAGCGAGGTGCCTCCCCCGGGGGAGGGCGGCTGGGCACAATGTGGTGTATTTGTACCAGCCCAGAAGGGAAGGGAATGCTGGGACTTTGAGAACATTGTTGAGCAAAATAAACCAGTTCTAAGAGGACAAATCCCGTGTGATTCCATTTAATCCACAGAGACAATAAGTGTGGTGGTGGTGGCAGGAGCCAGAAGCTTGTTTTTACTGGGGACAGGGTTTCAGCTGAGATGAAACATGTTTAGTGAGCGCATCATGGCCAATTGTGCAGCGATATCAGTGTGCTGGGTGCCAGGAATTACACATTTAGAAGCT